CGTATGTATTATACATATTCTTTTATTGCATCAAAATGTCAATTGTAAAACAATCAGAAAAAATCAACAACCCGCTAGATACCGATACAATTGAAATATCCAACGAAGTTGGAATTGGAGTTGAAAAGAGTGAACGTAAGGCAATCATTTATTATCAAAATTTTGCAGAGAGGGGGGAAGCTAGTGGAACGTCTGCTCTTGGTAACTGCTATAAAAATGAAATAGGAGTTGAAAAGGATAAATATAAGGCACTTATTTATTATCAAAAATCAGCAGAGATGGTAAATGTCAATGGAGTATTTAAGGTTGGAGCTTGTCATGAAGATGGAATTGGAGTAAAAAATGATGAACGTAAGGCATTCATTTATTATCAAAAACCTGCAGAGATGAGAAATGGCAATGGAGTATTTAAGGTCAGAGCTTGTTATGAAGATGGCATTGGAGTTGAAAAGGATGAGCATAAAGCATTAATTTATTATCAAAAATCTGCAGAAGTGGGGGCTAGTGGAATGAATAGTGTTGGATATTATTATCAACATAGAATTGGAGTTGAAAAGAATGAACATAAGGCATTCATTTATTATCTGAAATCTGCGGAGATGGGGGACGCTAGTGCGATATGTAATGTTGGATGTTGTTATCAAAATGGAATTGGAGTTGAAAAAGATGAACATGAAGCATTCGTTCACTATCAAAAGATTGGAAACGCTAGTGGAGTATTTAAGATTAGAGCTTGTTATGAAGATGGAATTGGAGTAAAAAAGGATGAACGTAAGGCACTCATTTATTATCAAAAGCCTACAGAGATGAGAAATGTCAATGAAGTATTTAAGGTTGGAGCTTGTTATGAAGATGGAATTGGAGTTGGAAAGGATGAGCATAAAGCATCTATTTATTATCAAAAATCTGCAGATATGAGGGACGCCAGCGTAATGAATAGTGTTGGATATTGTTATCAACATGGAATTGGAGTTGAGAAAGATGAACATAAGGCATTCATTTATTATCAAAAATCTGCAAAGATGGTAGATGTAAGTGCGATGTGTAATGTCGGGTATTGTAATCAAAATGGAATTGGTGTTGAAAAAGATGAACATAAAGCATTCGTTTATTATCAAAACTCTGCAAAGATGGGAAACGCTAGTGGAATGAATAGTGTTGGATATTGTTATCAAAACGAAATTGGAGTTGAAAAAGATGAAAAAACTGTAGATACAGGGGATGCACGCGGAATATATAATATCAAATACTGTAATAATGAAGGAATTGGAGTTGAAAAGGATGAACATAAGGCATTTATTTATTGTCAAAAAACTGCAGAGATGGGTAATGTTCATGGAACATTTAATAATGGATATTGCTATAAACATGAAACCAAGATCGAACAGGGTACAGAGCACGGAAATTGTTATGGAATGCGCCAAGTTTGTTTATATTATCAGAAAGGGATTGGAGTAAATAAAAGTAAAATTTTAATTTTTGAATGGTATTTAAAATTTGCTGCCACTAGACACGGATGCCATACTCAAGAAAACTGTTTCCGTTGGATAAATTACGATAATTTTAGAAATATTAAAGAAACAGGTAGAAAAGGGTATTTCATAGTGTATAAAACATCATATGAAATGTATAAAGTTTCAATCAAAATAATAAAAAATTTGCGCACAGATAAACTTTTTTTAAACGAGGTATTATTTTTTACATATTAAATTTATATTGCCTATGAATTAATTGTAATTTTTTTTTTTTTTGATAGTTAAAGGCATATCATAAATTTGGTAAATATTATGGCATATTACGTATTCATTCTAAAAGAGTTATACATCGAAATTTGCACTTTGGTAATATTTTAATAAATGAACAATATAAAGCTTATATTACAGATTTAGGTTTATTAATATTGTTTGATGAAAAAGAAGACCGTATTTATGGAGTTCTGCTATATATAACATCAGAGGGCTTAAAAGGAAAACGTTTCACTCAAGCTGCTGATATTTATAGTTTTGCAATGCTTATGATAAAACTAGATAATGCAATAGGATATTATTTACAAGAGTATTCTCGGGATTATTTTCCTCATAAGCTTAATTTAGATAATGATATCAGATATATTGGTTTAAAGGTAACTAACTATTCAGTGTAATCATGCTTCTATAATTTTTAGATTTGTATTTCATAATATAGGTTTTGCATACCAATTTCAAACATCTGATTAGTAGCAATCAAATTTGCAATTAAATTCAGACATTCAACTAGTTAAATTCGGACATACTATTGTGCTGGAAGCCTATACTCAACAGTTACACGAAGTGTTTCAAAATTTTAAATGATTATAACTTTTTATCTAAGAGGTTTTAAAAAAATCTACCCGGTAACATATGTGCCAAATATCTTTTCAAAATCTCATCACTGTAAAGAGTTGATGCGTTTTGAAAATTGAAATTTTATATATAAATTTATAAATTTACATATAAAATTTAATTTCCAAAATGCATAAACTCCTTACGATGATGAGATTTTGAAAAAATATTAGCACATATGTAAAGCTGATATATTCTATAAAGTTACGGGGTAAAATTTTTTTAAACCTCTTAGATAAAAAGTTATAATCATTTAAAATTTTGAAATACTTCGTGTAACCGCTGTGTAGACTTTCAGCACCATAGTACAATAATCAAATTTGGACATATTAATCAATTCAGATCAGACAGCAATATCTCGTGATCTAGTGATCCAAATCATATGATTTAGATACAAGTTAATTTATCTTGTCAAAATGAGCTGAATTATCACTGTATTACAAGATATTGTTCAAATTTGATTGCTATGTTTGGTTGAATGTCTAAATTTAATTGCTATTATGATGTTTGAAATTGGTACGCAAAACCTGTAATTAACAAGAATAATTATTTCTTCATCAATAAACAGCACTCAGAAATTATTATAGCTTCACAAAATTACATTAAATTCGCAGATCTTGGATGGTTTAAAAAATCAAATAAAGTAACTGCTTCGGATCATAAAGTTCATGAAATCGTAAATATTCAACGGTCAGATGTTGAAATTTTAGATTCTTCAAAAAGACGTAAAATTAAAAGTTCTGATGTACTGTTGAGACTTAAGAAAATTTCTAGCAGAGGATCTTTGTTTAAACAATTCAAATATGCTATAAATGTCGAGGATTCTCATTATTCCATATTAAACCCTACCAAGGAAGTATCTAAAAGAGCTTCAATAAAATATCAAAGAATATATACAGGTAATTCATATATCTTTTCTAAATAATTAGATATCCATTAAAAAATTCTTTTTTAAAAAAAAATCTTTTTTTAATTTTGTGAAGGTCATTTGGTCATAAATTCAGTAATACACACCGAAGGTCGTATAGAAAATAAACCTACTACTATTCCATATTTTCAGCACCGATTAGTAGATGAAATTTCAATTATTATTTTCAAATATGTAGAATCTCCTATGAATTTAATGCTGACATGTAAAAATTGGTATAAAATTTCAATTGATCAACAAGCAAGAGCAAAATGGATTATTTATAAATATGGTCACGCACATGCCCTTTTCTATGCAATCAAACTTGGTCCAAATTTTATTAATTTACCCGTTGCTCGGGCAATCATCGCCAATAAAGCTATAATATCTAGATATTTTATTCAACGGCTTCTTTTACATTTTGGAAAATTGGATAATGATCTTGTTACGTTAAAAATGGAATACAACAGCAATTCTGGACGCGTGAATAATACTTTATCTCAAAACATTCAACAAAGCACAAAACAACCTTGGGCCAGCGATTTAGGAATGTCAGTGTTTTTATATATACTAAAGATGGCTGCGGAACAATTTAGTGAAATGCAACTTTCTTTGAAGGGAAATGATTTGGAATTGTTTCACTTTTTATCTGCAGGACCATATGGTCTTAAAGAAGCTAAAGTCATTATGATGAAGAATTTGGATCAGATCAAGGATTTAATATTGAATAAAAAATTTATTCCTTTCCCGCCACGACCAAGAAGCAAAAATACACAAACTGCAACTGAGGAATATCCGGCTAAAGATGGTCTTGAAAATAATAGGCAGCTTAATGTAATTGCCAGAGCAATATTGATTCATCCGGATTTAGTGTCCGATTGGCATAAGATTAGATATCGCAGTATTTGTGAAGATGTTAATAGATTAGTCATGAAAGGTGCTCTTATTATGCTTTTTTCTCCAGCATCTGCAACTAACTGGACACCACCAAATCCTGAGGAAGTAGTTGAACGACTTTCTGAATTGATTAAGCTTGGATTTGTTTTGGATTATACCGTTATTGTAGAAATATTGTTGATTGAAAGACAATCGGTTGAGATTGGAAATACAATGATAAAGGCATTTTTACAGATAAAAAATGAATCACTAGAAGAATTTTTACATCAATGTTTAATTGAATTATTTCGAGCGTTTCGATTGGACAAAAGTCTGAAAAAGGCCTACGTTCTGGATTTTTTGTATTCGTTGATTGACAAAGATCATGAAGAAGTATTTTTTAAAGCCATGGAATTTGATCTTGAAAATAGATTAGATGACAATATTGAGAATCCATTTACAAATTTGAAATTCCCAGCTTTTTATTACAGCTGGATTTTAAGTAAATTTGGGCCAGTCACTAAAATTACAAATTGGTGCTTTAACGATATTTTGGAGAAAAGAGTTAATGTTGATATTTTCGTTCAACAACACCAACAAAATTATTTCCTAAATGAACAACCTGAAAATAATTTCAAAAAAATATGTGTTGCATTTAAGAACTATTCCAATACTATAAACTTCTTTAAGCCTTCGCATTTGAATATTATCAAACAAGCTACTAATGTCGATATAATTGATGGATTAAAACACTATTTAACTAAATTATTCATGCAACAATTGCAAAATTCTGTCGAATGTTCGGATAAAATAGATATTGATAATGTTTCATCATTTACTCATAAACGAAAAAGAGATGATCCAGAGTTGAATAATTGGTATAATGAAATTAGAAAATTACATTATGACCTAAATAGTTCTTTAATGTCGAATGAATTTAGTGAATTTTTAAAGGGCATTTGGGAAATAATTAACGGCTCAACCTTTGTTCTAAGTCGTGATGCGGACGAAACAGATGGTCTAAAAGAATAAGTAGGATTATATTCTGCAAACACTTCAGTGCTAGTTGACATTATGGTAAATAAAAACTTGGAAATATATATATAACATTTTTCAAGTTTTAGTTCTGTACTATGTATTACATATCATGCACAGTTTGACATAATCAAACTTTTGGATTACAATAAGGCTCCAAGATCAGTATAGTAACTAAAACTTACACATATGAGTAGTTTGTCTCCCGTTTCAACTAATAGCTAGATATAACAGCAGTGTAAAGAAATTATTGAGAATAAATTTTAATTAAAATTATTGATATTAAAATAATAATTAAAATTATTAATAATGAAATATGAATTAATATTTTTTTATATTAGAAAATTTGTAAATATATTTAATAATTAAATTAATAATTGAGCATTTGGGGTTAGTACAGGTGAGTATGTGATATTTGACTTGTTTGAAAGTTTCATGCTATTGTTCTTGTAGGTTATTTGGCTCTTGGAATTCATTAGTAGTAGATAAGATTTCTTTGAGATGAGAAATTAATTGTTGTCTGAATTCATATTTAAGATAGTTTAAAACTTTTTGGTTTTGTTAATAGTATTATTAAATTGTTAGCTGTATAAAGAAAAAACTTTTTCAAGCTATTTATTGAAATGAAGAAGCAAATTTTTTAAGAATAGTATATTGTATTTGTTTAAAAAGAGAGTTTTAAAAATATTGAAACTATGGTAAATATTGAAATAGTTATTCATGTTAATAGAAAAGTATTTTTGGTTTTTGTTATAATTGATAATTTTTAAGTTATTTTAAATTTTTTAGATCTAAGTTTAATTTCTTTAGCAAATTTAGTATAGTTAATTGCTTGGTAATTGTCTAAGAGGTATAAGTAAAGATGAGCTAAATTAATGCAAAATTATAAATAATTTAAGTTTAAGAGGTAGAATGCTAGCAGGTGAAGTAAATATTACTGAATAGCTAAGTTTGATAAATAGTACAATAGTAAATATAAGGATAAGTTTTTTAAAGATTTTTTCATAAATATTAAAGAGAAATATAACTAATTTATTAGCTGTAAAGTTGTTATTAAATTAAATTAACTTTTATTTGCTTATTTAACAGATAGCTAATATCAAACTAAATTCTTAACTTTAAATATATAGTAATTTTTTGTTGCTTCTTTAATGATTTTTTTGAATAAAATTATATAAATGTTTTTTAAAATAATTTATTAATATTTATGTTTATAGTTTAGTGTTGTTATATATTTTTATAATAACTGAAAAATTTACCAGTTAGTTAAATAATGAATTGAGCTTAGGTCTTGTTACTTAACTATTGTAACAGGTAAACAGCAAGTTATTACTTCAACAGACAAGACTTTGTGTAATGTTATGAATTGATGAAATAAGACTTCAAAATATAAATTTGATTTGACAAGTGTTTTATTTATTTCTTTATCTATTTGTACTTTAGTTTCTGTATTTATTAATAACTTAACTATTACTATCTACCACTATTACTAAGGAACTTTGATCTGTTTTTCTACTAATTAGAGTGTTTAAAAGATTAGTACTTTATTAAAATTTCTGTTTTGCTTTTATACACTTTTTACTTATACTAACTAATACTATTTGTTTTAGGTTTTTCTTCTACTTTTTCTACTATTCTGCCATACTACAATATTACCAACATGAGTTTCACCTAATTTAGGTAAATACTATACTATATGTATTTGCATTTTTTACTTTATTTTTAATATGTTTACTAATCTGTTCTTCTATTATTTTGCATTTTGTCACTTTAAAATGTTGTTGTCACAATGTAATGCCTTTCCCAATTTGGGCATAACTGCCTTGTTTTGTGTTTCTTAGCATGGAAACCTGATTATGCATGTTTTTCTGTTTTTGAAAGGATTGATAATATATGCATAATCCATGGGTCCTGATTATTATTTATGCTACATATTGTTATACTAAATTGTTATATTTTTCTGACCTATAATACTAAATAATTTTTATAGTTGTTCTGATACTTTTTGTTATTATTATTGTTATTCTGGTTGTTTGTATTATTTTATTCCTGGTATTTTTTATCATTATTATTTAGATTATTATTGTTATTAGTTACTATTAGGCAGGATAAAACTATTAATAGCATGTTATTAGTATTAGTAGTTATATTATTTGTGGTGTTATTAATAGTTAAAATTAAAGAAATAAATTCTGAAATAAGTGAATTGTTAAAACAATGTTTATTTAAAGATTTACCAAATTTATGGAATAAAAGTTTGTAAAAAGATTCTTGCTTAGAGTTAGTAATAATTTGTTTTTCAAATTTAGTTTTGATACAAAACTTGTAACAGGTTTTGTTATTGAAAAGTTTAGCATCAGCTACTAGTTAATATTTATTATTAATTACTTTGCAATTAATAAGTTAGTTATATTTGACATAAATGTGTTGGTGTACAGTTAATGAAGATAAAAAAATTGAAAATTATAAGATAAAGTCAGTAGAGTTAACAGTATTTAAAACAAATAATTTTTTGTCTTTTAGTTTTTTAATAATATTAATAATTAGATATTGTTTATAAATAAGATTTTTAAATAAGTAAAAGTATATATAATATTTTTTACAGAGACAGATAACTATAATACTAGTAGTAGGTACACAGAAGTAATGACTTCTTTTAATACTACTTCTAAATTTAGTAATAATAAAGTTGTTAGATTGTTTATTTATAGATATTTATTATAAAATTTGTAATATATTTTTATAGATTTTAATACTAAAACTTTTTAAAAATTTTTCATAAAAATAATCAAAATTAATGAAATCAGGTTTAGAACTTGTTAAGGTTGACATTTTGAACAAGATTACTTAAATAATTAAAATTAATTTTGCTTAATAAGATTTTAAATTATAAGTTTTTAAAGTTTAATTATAATTATTTAAATTTATTATCAGATAGACCTTATATTAATAAGAGTACTATTACAGTTTACTGTAATTGCTATGACTTGTGTAATCTTGTAACTAGGATAACACAAGTTGTGGCTAGTATAACTAGTATAGCTAATATAACTAATATAATACAAAGTTATAATAAGTTATATATTACAGTATATATTATATAAAAAAAATATATGATTTATTTTTAGTAACTTAGTACAAATTAGTTTGTGACAAAGAAAATTCTCTTTAAAATTAATTTAATTTATAAATATAAAATTAAATAAAACTAATTTTAAAAATAATTTAAAATTATACAAAAAATATAAGAAAGAAAATTTAACAAAATTTTGTTATATATTATTAGTAATCACTAATGATGATTCTTGGCAGGGGTGCTATATATCATTAGTAATCTAGGAATTACTAACGATATATATCACTTTTAAAATTTTTCTGATGTAAACCTACTAGAATAGTCAAAGCACATATAGATATAGATATTTGGTATATAATTTAATAATATATTATATTTGATCTATAAAATAAATCAAATATTAATTTTATAAATTGGTTGATTAATAAAAAAGTATATATTAAAGCAAATATGTAATTAATCAGGAAGTCTACAAAAATATAAGTAAATATAATCTTTTCAAAAGTAAGTATATCTAGTAGCTAAATTAGATAATATTGAAATTTTATTAATAGATTAGAATTAAGGTTTATTTTGTTGTTTTTTTTATTAAAAAAGTAAATATAATATGTTTTTTATAATTACTTATATAATTGAAGAAAATGTTAATAATAACTTAAAAAATAGTTTTATATAGAATATTAGAGTTTTGAATTGTTAATATAAGTAACTTTAAAATAAGTTCTTTAAGAGTAAAAATAGAATAGAATATGTTAGATAATATTTATAGAGAATTAAGAGTAGAGAATATATAGATCATTATTATATAGTTCTATATAGTTGTAACAATACTATAATTTCTCCATAATTTTTCTTTTTCATTATTTTTCTAAGTCTTTTCTTAATTACATGCT